TCCTTTAAATGAATTGGCTCGGAGAGCTTTACTTATCTATATGTGAGCTCAGACAGGTGTGCAGGTGTGCAAGGAGGAAAGGGGGGGACGTTCTGACTGGCTGGCCACAATGGAAATTCCACACTGGGCAGGCGGCAGTGAATGCACATCGCAGTGCTGTTGCTCAGGTTACTCACCTCTCCTTCAGCAGCCAACCCCACTCTTTGTCTCAGTCCTGCCGATGAAAACACTGGGGACCAGGCAGCGTGCCACGGCTCCACAGAGTCAATGTGTGTCTGTATGTCTGCATTTATGGCAGTGTATGGTCTGTCATGTGGGGCTCAGCGGATCTCCGCTGTATATACTGCAGAACATTTATGTCCCATTATCAGGGTCAGCTGTCTTCACCACCACTAGGAACAAATGTCTCAACCTGCTCACTTTTCAAACGCACACACACACGAAAAGATATAAGACAATTCAAGCCCATTTACAATTAAAACACTGACAGCCAATCAGAATCCATCCGACTGTAAAGAGCTTGAGAATTTAAAGTGGCAGATGACATAACTGCAGTGTTCGCTTATACTAAACAGAACGTTATCATGCATTGGTGCGGATGCTAATACAGTTATCGTTTTTGATGTGAATAGGTTTTTGATGTGAAAGGGCTAAAAGCAGGTGCAGAATAAAAAGGAGGAAGGGGATCTGGTCAAGGTCATTCAGAGTATATTTAGATAAGGACTGTAAATGAGTCATCACACATACTCTGCTCCAAAAAGGAAGTTCATAAAAGGATTGTTTTGCATCACACTACAGCTTGTATTATGAAGTGTGTTGTTTGCCGAAGTGACATCGTTTTTGTTTACTGGAGTGTAAAACAGTGTAGCGACATTGCGTCCTGAATACATCTGCAATCTAAAGGTCACCACAATAACAAAAAGTCTTTGTCTTAAAATACTAACAACAAATTAATTAGTAAAAAATTAAGATACAGGTCTGCATTATAGCAGAATGTATAATTTAGCTTTGCATGCAGCAATGCAATTTTTACATCATATGCAGATGTGTCTTTAAACATGAGGTCATAGAAGCACCAAGCACACTTGTGCAAAAACAAAAATCAAGTATTCATTTATAAATAGTCTGAACCTTATTTAAAAAAAAAAAGGTATATAGATGGAAATGTGGTAATGAACACACAGATGCTGACAGAGTACTTGAAAACATTCCTCTGTCAGACCTGACTGATTAGATTGGATAGATGCAGCTGTAATCAGATGGGTTAATGAAGCCATTTGCCCATCTCTCCAGTCACAAACATCATTTCTGCCTCTTTTGATGGGAACGGAGCAGCACGTCTGTGCTTGTCTGTTTGTTCAACAAGACCAAATTCAAGTACTCCATCACAATTCTGCAACCCCTCGCACACAAAATAAATAAAAAGCAGGTTTTTTAAGGTGGAAACACTGGAAAGCACCTTCAAAAAAGAGTTAGAAAAAAGTTGATTAAGATTAAATTTGTCAATTCAAATAAGTTAAATTAATAATTTAATAATAAAATTAAATAAAATAATAATTTGATTAAATAGGCCCTAATGCAAATTAATTATTAAAATTAAATAAATAAAAAATAATTCATTCACCCATGTCATTCCAAACCTGATGTAACAAAAATGACCTTCTTGTTTACGTGCAAGACAAAAGGAGAAGTTTAGCAGAATGTCCAAGCTGACCATTTACCCGCAATGAAAGTAAATGGTGACCATGACTATCCCTGGACCCTGTCCATTCTGATAAATATCTCCTTTTGTATTCTACAAAAAAGAAAAAAAAAATTATTATTATTGGAACAACATGAGGATGAGTAAATCCTCAATACTTTCATTTTTAGGTGAATTATCCTTAAAAAGTCTATAAAAAGAGTCTATAAGAGGCGCGAATACACACTTTTTTGTGAATTATCTTGTTTAACTTTAACAGAACATATTGGACATATATAAAGCCTCCTATTCTGAGGACATTTCACAAGCCAGACCATTCTGCATGCAAGAGATGGTAAAGACATATATTTAGCAAACGTGAGGCTGATTGTGGTGCACAACCATATATTGTAACTATAAATCCTTTCTGTCTGTAGTAATAATGGCATATGCACACACACACACACATATAGAGCAGACAGATAACACATTACAAGCCCTATAATCATTATGCTTGGCTCCCTGGAAAACATGCCCCGAGGAAAATGCCGACGAGAAATATAGCAGCCCGGCTGTTAAATTAGTCCAGGCATGCGTTAAACAATGTGGCCTCAACTGGTGTTCCCTCACAGAGCATTACACAACCAATCACACACAGTGACACTTTTATAGCACAGTAACACACAGGTATGTTACAGGTACACTAAAAAATACCCATTATCATGATCTAAAATACCTAAAGCTAAGACACACAACGACAACTGTCCGACACAGTTGTGTTTTTGAGTGCAGATGCAATATTCACACAACCCCAGCAGGAATATGAGCTGGCTCAGATGCTGGAGCCTCTAGTCACCATACACACACATACACACACACACACACACACACACACACACACACACACACACACACACACACATCTACAGCCTAGAGCAATGGAGGAACTCTCCAGAAGCACCAAAAAGACTGTCAAAATTTCTCATGCTCAACATTAATAAACTGTCATGGTTGTTTATAGGTTTAATTCCAGAACTGAATTCAGAGCTTATGATATATACAATTATAAATTCCTGAAGAAGATTTACGGCTTGCAAATTCATAAATGCACAAGATATCGGTACCATATCAGTTTTCTGCCAATATTAAAGATTATTTTTATTCACTGTATAGGTGGACTTTTGATATTTAATAATGCAAGCTCATTTTCTATATTTGTACATTTGCCATCATCTAACACACATTTGAAGTTAGCCTTTAAAAACAACAATAAACAACACTGTTAAATGTATTGTAATTTTCAGTAAATTTCCAAAATAATGTGATGTTGTGATGCCTAAACTCATTTGCAGCTAATTAACTTGAAAAATTAGTGATTTTAATTTTTTTTGTGTGTTTTTTCAATATAATTTAATCATATAAATAAATAAAAAAATTCCGTCATTTATTGTAATAGGCCATAACATTAAAATAATTATCAACATATCAGTATTGGCCAGAATTTGTATAGCGGTACATCCCAACTATAATCATGTTAACAATAAACAAAGATTTGCACAAAGAAAACAATGGTATAAGACAACAAATCAACATACACCTGGTCGTTTTATCCTGTCATAACCTGCCATAAAGTACAACTACGGAAGTTCAACTTAGGAAGTTGTTCGTTTGATTTCTTTAGATCTTAAACCTTTCCTTTTTCATATTTGAGTGTCAAAATCCCTCTGAGAATGGACAGCGGGAGTCTGACCAAGGGTGAAACAGCTTGCACCGCTGAACACTCACTGCTACAACTGTGACCTTCAGCGTCAGTCCAAATTCATCTTGAAGAAACCACTATGGTTCAATACTTGCACATCAGGTCTACACAAGTTGAAAAGAATGGCAATAAGGAAGTTATGAGCTAGAGGCTCAATCAAAGAGTTGATGTTTCTAAATTTCAGCTGAAGTGCCTGTGGTGCCGCAGCACTTAACACAAAGCTTTGGAGAAGACCCGAAGGAGAACTTACCCAAGATCATCCTAAAAGCCTCGCTCCTGTGATCAGGACCAGCTTTCCTCGAATTCTAATCCAGGGGAGCACAAGTTCTTCTCCGCACTCCTCTCTGCGTCTCTCTTACAAACCAGAAGTGAGTCAAGCAGCCAGCGCAGCGTGAGAGAGAGCATATCTGTTGTCCATCCTGTATCTTGTATGTCCTCTCTTTCCAGGTGAACGAGCAGTATTCTGAGGGGAGGGATCTGCAGGTCTTCTGCCGTCTTCTCTCAGGTGAGTCAGAGGGCAACGTGGGAGAGTGTCCCGAGACGGGGGTTGGGGGGGGGTCAGAAATGCCAGAGCCCTGGTCAGTGAATGAGCCAAAATCCCTGTAGGTGCACTGGGACACACTGTGCTTCTTTACAGCAGATAGAAGATGAACAGTTTCCCTTCAACAGGAACATTTCTCAGATACCATGAAGAAATGCCTCGGTAGCACAGTCAAGCCGGTGTCTGTGCTGCGCTCTCTCTCTCTCTCTTTTCTCTCTATCTCTCTCTCTCCCCGCTTCTTGTTTTTGGGGTTGGGTATAACCTAAAGGCACCTTCCCTGTCTGCGCTCTGATTGGTGGCAGTCCCAACCAATTGGAGAGGCAGCAGCCGCTTGTCATCCTGCAGAGTGGAAAGCATGGAATCATTGCCACACTCTCTCTCTCTCAATTTTTCCCTCCATCTCTTTCACTCTCAAAATCGGTCTGTTTATGGCAGTTGCAATAGTGGTGGTCACTTCTCCATCTCTCACTCCTCTTCTCACCCCCTTTGCGACCCCTGTGACGGTGAACTTGTAAGGGGATTAACGTCCTCTCTGCACCTCCCTGAGGCTCTCCTTTAAGTCTTTCTGTTGCAGGAAATATTTGTTACTCAAAGCTTTTGTCAATAATTTGGGGAGATATGAGAAAAGAGAATGAACGTTCGGAAGAGATGGAACAGAGAGCGACAGAGCGAAGGAATCAGGAGGAGGAGGAGGAGGAGGGGGAGATTAAACTAAATTCAAACTGACAGAGGGATGAGGAGACATGGAGAAAAGACTGGAAGGAAGAATAAGAGAGACAGAGAAATTAACAAAGAGAGAGGCCGACACAAGCCGCAGTCTTATTAAGCACAACTGGGCCAATTTCAAAACGTGTCATTGTCGGGTTGAAATGCGCCTCATAAAGAATTCAAAATTGAACATCTTCGGTATGTAAGTGATTCGGCTCGCCTCAGACAACAGCGGAGCTTATGGCAGCCTTTCCGATGGAGGAAAGCCATGCTGCAGGGCTGAATCGAACATTTAAAAAAAGGCTAGAGAAGAAAGGAGGCATCAAAAATGAATTCTCTAAAGCCATTTACTAGCACACACACTATGCATGCTTGAGCTAGGGGCTAGAAAAATTGCGATCTTTTATTTTGTCTTCCGGTTTGTTCCTTTTCCCTCCTCTCTCTCTCTCTCTCCTCTGTTGTCTCTGGCTTGTGCAGTAAGTCAGCGAGTGGGGATGTGAATACTAAGGAGGCTGGCTGACACCCTTGATAGTGCACTGCACAGAGACAGAGACAGAAAATAAATGAGGGTGGGGGAAATTGTACATTTAAAGCTCCATTATTATAAAACTACAGGTGCATTACACACAGACTCGCACACATGCCGTTATCTGATCCCAGAGGGCACTCATACACACTATTAGACCAGCACCTGAGCAAACAGCTCATAATGAGGATGGACTTGTGTGTGTGCCCTGATACACCAATGGGTAAACACACTGATACAGGTGAGGTCTTAATACTGATCTTTACTGATTAACTGCTCATTATTGAAGCTTTGCTTAATCATTCACTTTGTAAAGGTCAAGAGGAAGGTTGTGAATCCCAGTTTGTCAACTGTGGATGCAAACGGCGACAAAACTAATGCAAAGCACCCTCCGGTTGAGATATGATGAGCTTTGGATGCTGGAATGCCTACCAGGGCAAAATTTTGAATTTAAGGATTGGCAGCATTTCAAATTATGAATGTGAATTTGGATTGAATGGGCAACACCCCAAAAAAAGTCGAATGAAATTTAAATTGGGATGACAGGACAAGGAATTTATTTTCTGCAAAGGCATTCTAGGAAATTAAGTGTTCTTATAAGACATTTAAACTTTTTAAGTTTTCAAACAAGGTTATCGTGCAAAATTTGTTCCGACAAATTTTCCATTTCCAATTAAAAACTTCATTCATAGGAATTATATTAATTTCTTTTAATTCCAGTTTATTTTATTTCTACCTCCGTAAATACCAATTCAAATTGCAATGGAATTAAAAATTAAATGAATTTTTAACTCTGAATTAGGCTTCTTAACTATCTTAACCAGTAAACCTCTGTCGGTCAACCAGCAATTTTTGCTAGTGAACAACATAATGATGGCAACCAGCATAAACAACAGAATTTTTAGGGATGGCCGACATAATAAGCCAATAATTGTTATGTCATGGCTGATAACCGACACCTGGCACTATGGCACATATTAAAATTATACACATCAAACTCAAAATCATTTTAAATGCTAAACTTAGGAATCAGATCATTAAAATGTAAAGTACAAAAAATGTACTGTAAAGCACATGTACGGTGTATGTGATTTGCTCAAGATTACATTTAACAGTGTTATTAAATCATTAATATTATTTTAAATTATTAGGATAAACTTTAAATGAGCATTGCATGATGCTAAAGGTAATCTAAATGTAAAATATTGAAGAAATTACCATGCACAATCAGATGTTGACTGGTCAATAAAACAACATAAAAATTCACACTCATCTAACCTGGGCTGTGTTTCCCAAAAGCATTGTGAGCCTAAGTTGATCATAGAGACCATTAATGGCAATGGTTTCTACGATCTAAATATGCTTACGATTCTTTTGGGAAACACAGCCCTGGTCATTTCACTGAGGCCATCTGAGCCTGTGAAAGTCAAAGCACTGATAAACAGGTTGATTGGACAGTGTGCCAGTGTGGCAATGCAGAGCTCACACAGCAGTGTGACCATGTGTATGTGTCTCATCAAAAGAGGGGATAGGGTTTCCTCATTAGTTGTTTTGGGATCAATAATTCAGAGCAGGGCCTTGTTGAGCTCAATGGTCCAAGCGCTAATGTGCTGTCTACCTGCTAGTGACTGGGACCCAGCAGGACTTTAATGGATGTCATGATGAGAGGGTGAAATCCAAGAATGGGGATCCTTTTTCACCCCTGGCTCTGGGATGCACGCGCGTGTGTGTGTGTTAAGTCTAGGATGGGTATGGTCATAGCATGAGGAGAATGGCTATCAAAAAACAGGTGTGAAGAGATGGATGGATAGATGAGAGCATCAAGAAAAAGAGCTGAAGATGACATAACACTGTTGCTGCGGGTTGTTTTTCATGTCCGCGGGTTGAAAAGTGACCGCATTAACGTGATATTTAGCCCCTGGAATGCGATTACCTGGGGAACCCCACCAAAACATGCGTATTTTATCCTTTACTGAAATTTTGGTACCGTGACAACACTAATATATATATATATATATATATACATATATATATAAAGTATGAGCTATTTCACAGACGTAACGCTTCAAACAAAGCTTTAAGCTAACTACTCAACTTTCCTTCACAACTCCTTTTAACAACTTTGATCTAGAGGTCTGCTACCCGACCAGAGCCTGACGGGTCCCGAAATACTCTCGGGTTCGGGTTTTTAGCTAAAGTAAACAGTAGGCTATGCTGCTTTCATTGACGCAAGCACACACACAATTTGCACACAGAGAACGGAGATCGCGCAGCGCACACACAGAAACACTGTGGCGCACAGAAACGTTTATTAATAAAATAGCTTCGATACTGACCGCTGCATTATATTTCTCAGCAATGAGGTGGTAAAATCGCTGTTTTTTAAGTAACTAAGCTTCAATGCTTGTAGAGAGAGACTCGCAGACGCAGGTAATTCACACATGCAACTTTCACTTAAGTTGACCGTCAAAAGACTATAATTGGCGACTTGACATATTAATGTTCAAATGCATCAGACGGTCAGTGAACGGTGGTCCATAGACTTATCATCTGAGACCAGTATCGTTATGACAACCGACAAGACGCTGAGTTTCACATATTATTGTATTTATGGGATAATGCTGCACGCCCAGAGAGTAGAAGCAAGCTCACATATCCTCATTAAAACAAAAATAGTCAAGCAATCTCACACGAACCAGAGTACTGTAATCCTGAATTAACTAACAGCAGTCTGTTCTAACATATCGACCAAATAAAGACGACATAACCCTAACCAAAGACTATAGAATACCTTAAAGAGACTTTGCCCTAACCTACTTTTATGCATCGCTTCATAAAACAATAAGTTAAGATTGAGTAACTTACATTTTAGTCGAGGTATTTCCAGTTGAGGCGTCTGTTTTTGCTCCACAAACGAAAATAGTTCCAAGCCAAGCCAGAGCAACGCTACCGAATGATTCAGTGTTTCTGAACGAATCGGTTGAGTGATTGAACGATTCAACGATTCACTGATTTGCTCAAGTCGATCCGGAATAGCGTGCTGCTAGCATACTAATTCATCCATATAAAAATATGGCAGAAGTAGTAGAAGTAGTATAGTGGTATGCTTTTCCTAATTCAGACAGTAAGATTTTTACTCCAGAATGAAGTGTATCTTTGAACGAATGAATAAATCGCTCCTTCATAATAGACAAAAAGTCACTTGTCGCCCCCTACAGGCGTAATGATGTAAACTGCAGAAAGATCGAGTCACTGGAAAAATCAGTGTATAATAAAAATATGATACTCTGAAAATGTATGAAATCAGTTCATCACAATACTTACCATGGTCAAAATGCACAAAACTGTAATTCTCCATATTTTTAATTCATAGATTGTAACACTGGGCAAGTAGGCATTTTAATGATCCATTAAGCAGTGAACTAGAAATGAGTCAGAGTGTAAGTAAGGTGCGGCTGTGTGAACCTTATATCTGTCTATATTCCTGCAACCAAATGGAGGACACAGAGAAAGAGAGTGTGTGAGAGAGAGGCACCTCCGCTTGCCACCAGTCAACCATAAAAGCCCACTGCCAGAATAAACCTGCACTGCGACACACTCAGACTCAGAGGACAGGGCCTTGACTCCTGCTCTACAGTCCATTTCATTGTTATAAAGCTCCTCACTGTGTAACCCCTACAGCAGGGGCAAAGGTGCTTTTCTGCCCTCTGCAGGTTGAGAATTGCTATTACACACAAGAATAATCCATATTCTTGCAGCATAATAATGACGGATTTACATATTAATTATTTAAATAAGGTGTCTTCCATCAATTTAATCTGAATGAAAATATGGTAGATGAATCCTCAATGCATCATATACATATCTACCATATTTTCATTATATATATATATATATATATATATAGTCATGTGATGCTTATGTAACTCTGACATTTGAATATACAGTAGGGAATCATCTTTGAGGGTTTCAGCA